TGTTCTTCTAGTTATCATCTGAGCAGTTGTCAGATAATCCAAAATGTGGGTCCTTTTCAATATGGCTTACACGGAAATAGCGAATATGATAGCACAAACTGCCATCAGAAGTTATCTCATCAATAAAATTGTCAATTCTTTACTTTTGCTAAATGCACTGATTATTTAATTGTTTTAGTCGTAATTTTCATTTCAACGTTTATCAGAAATATTCAACAGTTCGCCGGCACTTCACAGAGTGCTTCAATTCATGTACTGACTAATAGTTGTGTTCTTAATTCTATCAGTAACAAGTACGCTTGGCGAGACTCTCATTTATGGACGAGCCGATCAGAGGCGTTTTGGAGATTTCAAGGTTACGGCGCCAACTTCAGTGCTTAATGCTAACGTACGACCGGTTCACAGAGAATTTTGTACAAAACGTGATAATTGATCGGCTATGACAAAAAATGGCGGGACTATAATTTGTGGACGTACATCGATGTTTGGGGAGCGTACAGACTCCCACATAGGTTTAGTTATGTGCATCATGTCGTTATCCACAAGTAGTGTTTTGTGCACTCAACAACCAGAGTGCACATAAACAATATAGAAGCTACGTGGTCGAGACTGAAAGAGTATTTGAGACCTTATCTGGCTCTAGAGGCCGACTATTCTGCAGCCATGTGGATGATTTCCTCTACCGCACGTATTACGATTTTAGAACCTCTGGACCTTTTTCTAACCTTGACAAGTTTTTGGACCACGTATAAGAAGTGTATCCACTTTATTTCCTTGGTTTTGTATAATATATTTTTACTCTATGCTGTCTGTTTGCTGATTGGCTAATATTTCTCAAGGTTACTCAAGATTCCTTCAAAGAGTTTCAGGCTAATAGTCGGCCTCTGGAGTCATCATACGTACGTTAGCGTTAAGCACTGAAGATGGCGCCGTAACCTTGAAATCTCCAAAACGCCTCTGAATGGCTCTTCCATAAATTAGAGTCTCGCCGTACGCTTCTACATTACCAACTAGAGGAAGATGTGATTTAGAATGTATTGCAAGTGAAACGAGAATAATCTTAATCCATAACCATGTAGTGGCATTGTATCGTAACAATACGACTTTTGAAGCCGACCATATAATTACTGAAAAGACCTTCAACAATTGACATGCAGAAAAGGTTGACTATGGAGAACGCGAGATAGGTAATTCTATTCATCGGATGGCATGACTCAACCATGCAGGCGTGATCATTCTTGTGTAACACTAAAATCTTTTATTCATAATAAATATATTGTTCTATCTCTAGCCTAAATATTTTGCCCATCATATATTGGCGATGTTACGATAGGACGAGCCAGTGAAGACAATGACATGACTTCCACGTAAGATCTTATAGATTAGGTAGTCACATCATGACAAATATTCAATTTTAAGATAAGGTCTATCATTAGAGCAATACTAGTAACGAGGTAGACCATAATTTCACATACGAACACCTAGATGAGAAAGCTTGTGCAACGTATTAGAGACACTGCGTCGATAACGTTCCGGCACGATCGGATGTTCTTTACGTATAGATGTGTCTCACAGTAAGGTTTCCTTACCAGTTTCCATCTGTTTAATACGCAGATTTAGCGTTATAGTATATAACTCGTGCTGAAGATCAGTGTCTTCTTTTTGAAGCTGGGCGAGTTTAAGAAGGTCGATTCTTTGTAAACTGCCTTGGAACGTTATACGAGACAACTATAATGTTTGCTCCAGAAATGTGTTTTTTGTCTGAAGTAAACTGCGTAGTCCAGTTGTCGCGACCCTCGAGTTGAGTAGTTGTCTGAAGATGAGCTTAAGAAAAGGTAACAGGTTTGTGATCGGTGAACAGATTGAATTTTCGACCCTCCACAGAGTGTTGAAAAAGCCGTACAGTATATTTCATAGTTAGGAGTTCCCTACTGAAAGTGCTTCACCTTGATTCGGTGTCTAGCAACCGTCTCGAGAAGAATGCAAAACGTTGTCAGGTGTAGATAGCCCATTGTTGTAAAACTGCTCCGATTGCCGAGTCAGGTGTGTCTACTGAGATGCTAATGTGTGCTTCGGTGTCCTGGTGTATGAACATTATTGCTTTGGCGATAAGTTCCTTAAGTGAAGGGAATGCTTTCTTAGCGATGTCGTCCATATTGACGATTTTTGCATTTTCACGAAGATATTTGGTTAGATTTTTCATAAGGGATGAGGATTTCGGCATGATTTCTCTATAAAAACTTACCAGACCGTTAAAACTGCGTAGCTGCTTGGTTTTAGTTGGTTCTGGGTAATACAGAATGGCTACCACTTTGCTTCTCAGAGGTCGGATGCCTTGAGCATCAATGGCGTGTCCAAAGAAATCTAAGGAGTCAGTTCCGATTCGACATTCCTGAATGTTTACCGTAATGCCATGCTTTCGCAGTCGTTCGAAGACAAGGTCCAGATGCTGGAGATGAGATTTTCTGTCTTGACATGCAGTCAAGAAATTATGAACATACTCGTGTACGAAGTTGAGACCTCGAAAAACGTTATCGACGAACCTTAGGAAAGTTTGTGCAACACATATTAGGCCAAAAGGCATGTGCAGAATTCTGTGGAGACCAAAACGTGTGATGATAGCGGTTTTAGGAATGTCGTCAGCAGCCATAGAAACTGGGTTATACGCTTTAACCAAGTCGATTTTCGAAAAGACAGTTATACCTTTCAAGGTAGCTGTCGAATAGTGAATGTGGGGCAACGGTTAACAATCAAGAATGGGTTTTGCATTCAATGTCTGATAATCTCCAGTTGGACGCCAGTCGTTGCTATCATTTCAAGGGACCACATGCATGAGAGATGTCCATGGGCTGTCTGGTTGCCGAATGATTCCCAAGTCTATCATGTGGTCGAGTTCGTTTTTCGTCAACCGCAGATTTGCGGGAGCCAGTTGGCACTCTTTCGAGAATACAGATGGTCCTGTAGTCGTGATGTGATGTATCACATCGATGATTACATATTACGGTCCAGTTTGCGTTTGGTATATCTCAGGGTACGAATCGAATATTTCTCAGTAGTATGGATCGATCGTGTGTCTTACTGTGACTGGCGAAAATCTATGGTGCGAAAAAAATTACACAAACAGATAAATTGATGTTTCAGTCTATTTGTAGCAGGTCTATACCAATAATTTGCATAGAAACATCTACGCCAACGACGATCCAATGGATGAATTTGCGTAAACCCACGTTGAGATAAATATATATCGCCTACCGTATGTGGAGATTGAATTCCCAATTGCTGCCTGTAAGGTGAAAACTGCAGGAAGAACGCTAACTTCTGCACTAGTGTCGAAGAAATAGCGGACTTTCGTAGTCACATCTGTGATGTATAACAGATGGCTATGTTCGCCTACCATGGTTTTCGTTAACGAGTGCCAGCTGAGAAGTTTCCCGGAACGCTTTTTGGTTTGGGGTTCGAGATAACGCAAGGTTTTCTAAAATGTCTAGATTTACAAATTTATTATAATACCAACACCAACCAAGGTTATCTATCTTTCGCGATCTACAAACAGATCGTTTTGGATCATCTAAGGTCATGATGAATACTAAGTTAACGTTTCAGAGTATGACAGAGACATGTGTCGCCCGAGGTTTTTCTTCAACTTGAAAAAAATGAGTTAGAAGTTCGGGTGGTTTCCAGAATTCGACCAGTGGATGCAGCCAGCTAGTCTTCAGCGTTGTTTGGAAGTGAGACCAGAACTGCCTGCACTTGTTACAGAAGCTTAGACACGAAAAGTTGGCTAAACAGCCCCTCGTCAACAGTTCGTTGACCAATGTCCTCTCTCATTTGTAGCTACATGTCTGTTGCTGAGCCATGTTTTACATAGGTGTTGTTAAAGTGTTATTCTAACCTATGTCAATCGGTTAGATCTCCACGCTCAAGAATAAACCTTTAAAGAGTTCCGTAAGTTTCCAAGATATCACTAGTAAACATACTAAGTGACATACTTATTTAAATCGCTCGGTAGTGCCTTCACTACTGCGGGGAACTATGTGTGGGTCGATCACGCCGTGCTCTCGGAAATCAGGTTTTACGTAACAGAACAGATGTTGTCGGGTCAAAATGGTATTACCTTAAATCAGAGTGGCGAAACGGTTTTGATTTTAAATAATTTACGAGTCTTTTCGGTCATGGTGAATATAAAGTTAAGCAATGAACAAAATTGTTCAACAATACTAAAAAATGTCACATTATGTGAAGCCCAAAATAAAAATGATATATAAATTTCCAACAAGGAATTGACTCACAGTTCACGAGTTAGTGTACCAGATAACATCTGGCTGACGACTAAAGATGTTACAAGTATTTGGTGTTTGACAACACTTTAACCATTAACAGTATTTATAAGCAAAACGTGACAACCCAGTGAGATGAAAAGCCAGAAGCCAAGATGTTCGAAGATATATTTGATAGAATATCGATATGTCGAGAAATGGATTATCTAGGCTGGCTGGAGGTGGATCACGGTGTGGATGAGTGACCAATCGTCTTCAGCTGTGTGGGACATTTAAAACTAACGTGTTCATTAACAAATGTCGGGGACATACAAAGCTAATGATTTTTCGGGATTTATTTACCGCCAACAAACCAATGTTCTATGATGTGACGACAGGTCTGAGAAACTACAATACCCTACAAAAAGCAACCCCACAATAAGCTTGCTCTCAATTACTTAATAAAATCGGCAGCATTAGTTCAGCATAGAAGAGAAATTACCTTTTGCTCAAACCAAGTCTGAAATGCAAAAAAAGTCAAATGATTTTCATCGAATAGTCGTGAAGAAATATTGAGGTAGATAAACAAAATGTCCTGAGAACCTTGTAAGGCTGAACTCTCTATCGCTAGCACAGTCGAGGGCTTAATGAAAATATACATAGGCAAGCACTGAAATCTCAGTAAAAACTTTTGGAACTTCAACGACCTTGACATCCATTGACACGGATGTTCAACATTCGATATCTGTTTCCTATCCCGACGCCACGATTCAAGGTCGAACATTGCTGACCGTTGTCTGGATGGGGTTTTGGGAAATGGTCTTCAGAGCTGGCAGTTAAAGTATAATGATAATGGTTACAAATAATGATGCCATTCAGTTTCTCTTCTCGCAAAGGACTTATACGATGCGCCAGGAAAAGCCTCGGCACCTAAAGTAATTCTATATATTGATATGTCTCGAACGTCTAGATATTTAAACGAATTTCGCACTCAACAATGCCTCCTGTTTCTTGAACAACAGTGTCAGTTTCATCGCCCTTATACTTGCTTTCATTGGCACTTTCCAAACCAGAAACGGAGGCGGCCTTTCAAGAGACCTGATGGAACTTTTAATTACAATCCGGATGTATACTGTGATAAATATGATGAAACAAGTGGGTCATGTGCTGATGGAAATGAGTAAGTTGTGATGCTTTACGTCTTTAAATTTTCTGCGATTCAAACTTTTGCACTGTTCTGTGACTGAACTTACAGTCCTGTAAACCAGTTTTGTAGTAATCAGTTCTGTAAGCTTAAACTACGTTATTCTTTTTACAATACTGACATGACTGCAACGTAATGTTTCACTATTGTCGTTAGGCATGTCGTTTCATGGTATTGTTTTGTCATGAATTCCATAAGGTTTAAGTAATTCTCGGGATAACACAATCTATGTAGTCGTGTAAGGATTTTAGTAAAACTATCGGTTCGAAGCTACATCGTATTCAGTTCCATAATCCATTTAGGTTTGTGTGATTGCATCCGAAGACCTAGAGAGTCGAGGTAAAGCTGGATAGTATCTTGTTCAGAACATTTACTTGTAAACGTGTTGATGATGGTTAATTAAACCTTCTTAAACACTGAACGGTTAAAAAGTATAATTAGAAACGTCTATTGATTGCCTCTGATTATTTCTCCCCACTTCAATTTTCTTGTAACTGGTAACCTGAAATTTTTTTGATGCGCAATAAAATTTTAATGAATTGTGGAAAACATAATAAAACCTATCGAAAGTTTTTTCTACATGAGTCATTGCACGTTTAACAGCTGACGATCTAACCCTCAAGGCTAGTGCGTGGCAAAGTTCGGTTTTAGAAGACAGCCATTTTAAGGTTTGTTTTGCACTTGATTTCAGCTTATCAAATTAATAACTACGAATTGAAATGTTGCTTACGGTTTTGGTGGTTTCAAACTGTTCATGTTGTTAAGTCTGCTTACTAATGCATAACTATCTGAAGTAACCAGTCACTAAATATAAAACTTAGTACCATCTTAACGTACAACAATCCTAATTTAATTCTAAATTATGCCATGCTGTCAAGGCTCATCATTGACAGAGGTGTACGATAATTTACTGGTTCTGTAAAACCTTTACCATGATAATAATGAGTTGTTTAAGCTAGCACTCACCAGCTGTCTTTATATCTCTTAGTTTCCTTCTGAACCTCACAGTTAAGCCTTATGTTCGCACTCGTTCGGTGAACTGATAGTGAATATATGGTAGTTGTACCCATAAATCAGTCCTGGATTTATGTCCAATGGAATACGTGTATTTGCCCATTTGGATGCCTTCAGTAAATATTCGATAACATGACTTAGTACTCGGTTCCTAAACAGTGTAGGTCTTCTCAGTTTGGTAGGTTTTAGTATATTCAGAAACTCAATTTTTCGTTTCGGTTAGATATTATGCTACAAAAATAAGTTCTTCGGTCACGCATTAAAAGACATTACAGTAGTCTCCACATGTTACTCCCTTCAGTATCTGAGTACAGTCTATCATGAATCGAATAGCCACTAATTATGGATTAAATTTTTCCAGTATGAGACAAGATCTATGATAATTACGAAGACCAGAAAACTAATGCATAACGTTTTAAAGATATCCCCTGCGCAATGATTAATAGGTAAAATGTAAGGAAAATGTATTGATGATGACCTCAAAAGAATCAAAGAATAAAATTAAGTTAATCGGTCATATATTAATTACAATGGTTATAATTTGTGGGCTCAGTATTTATCAGTAAACACATGCTAGAAAGTGGGTTTGAATGTGATCAACTTGGTCTTGTGTGATGTTACGGTTATGTGGGTTGATATCACTTCCCGGCCGCTCACACCGCTACGGGGTTTGAATCGACAACTGCATCTCTCTGCTAATGTGGTATAGCAACTCGAACTGATGTATGTACGTACGAAGTTCTACGTTGTTACTGACTGACTGAAAAAGTGGGTTGAAAGCCCACTAAGTAATGTGACGAAAATATGTTGAAAGTTGGCCTGGCATTCCATATTGATTTTTTTCTTGTAAGTTGTGTTTGAGAATTCCACACCTCCGGAAGTCGCACTGCCTACTGTACGGAGGTTTGATAACAGCCGGTTGTCTCTTCAAGACAACCAGCATCCCCAGTGATACTAGCCACCCATGATGCAAAATATGGGAGCTATAAAAAGTCATCCTTAAAGAAACTGGACAATTTGTCACCGAAATAAGATCTAAATAGTACGGGGCTAACACAGCTAACCCTATTCACATAAATGTCATGTGACTGGCCTCATGAGTCTGCGGTTATACTATTGCGTCGTCAAGACACCTTCTACACGGTTCCTTTTCCATATACCTCATGAAATATCCTTCCACGATGTGAAGAACCAGGATGTGACGGCCTTCATCCCATCTTTGAAACCAATCCAGCTGATTTCGTTCGCAATTTTAGTTATAAGCAAATTTATTAAGTTGTCTTAAACATTTTTTCTTATTCTTGTAGATGCCCGTATGCGCACCGCAATGCTGGTGACACGGAACGACGTTATCATCCACGCTATTTCAAAACTGGAAATTGTATATATGAAACTATGGAAAACGGAGCCTGTGTCAAGAATGGTCTGCATTGTGCTTTTGCACATGGTCCTGATGACATCCGTTTACCTGTTTATGACATTCGCGAAGTTCAGGATGCTTCTTCAAAATTCACTGTTAATCTACCTGCTAGTTTAGAAAAAGAGCGAGTACTGAGTGAAGATCCCAAATGGAATGGTAATTATCTTTAATGGGACGGGATGGTTGGTCCTGTTCTTAACTCCTTTGTTAAATTTGAAAGTTTTAAAACCTTGTATCATTTTATGGAGGATTGATATTTAATAATTATTGAGTTTGCAGCCTAATATATATCTGTGTTCCATTTAAAATCAGATAGTCCTAGGTGAGATTAAGCATATCGCTGTCAAGTCCAGAAAATTGGATGTTTTCGACCGAAATCTCACTACTTTATCAAGAAAGCCATCATCGTCTTGATATACGAGCTGACATGTTTGTGGGGAGGAAATGGTGGCATATTTTTGGAATCAGATATCATAAAACCAGCACGACTTTACTATTAACTTGAAGAACCCAATCATACTGTAGGTGTTTCTCAGGGCTATGAAATTTAACTTAGTTTATGTATTAATAGTCTTTACAAATTGATTATTGAAATCACTAAAATCTGTTAAGCACTAAATAGCTGTTGTCTTATTATCTCATCTTTTCAAAATGATTTCTCAGTGTTATATTTCTTCAATACTCTCTTTTTCTTTAAAAGCTCATTTTAACTTATTTATACTAAAAAATCTTTTATTCAGAAATGTTCCATGTACTTGGCTGTTATAAGACTGAATTATGCAAGAAACCACCGCGAATGTGTCGTCAAGGTTATTCATGTCCATTTTATCACAATGGAAAAGATAAACGAAGAGCTCCTGATAAATTCTTGTATCGTAGTACTCCTTGTCCTATTGTTCGACCTGGTGATGAGTGGCAAGACAGTACCCTTTGTGATACTGGCGATGCATGTGTTTACTGTCATACGCGAACGGAACAACAATTTCACCCTGAAGTAAGTTAATAATGTGTTCATTTTTTTCTTAAATGTATATATGTTACGTATGATGGTTAAGGAACCCGATTTTGTGCTTATATTCTTTCATTATAATGTGCCTTGAAGTAATTAGTGTCCCTAAACAATTGATTTGAACTTATTACTCAGTATTATAGTCAAAGATGTTACCACCAATCTATTTGGATAAGTTTAAAACCCCATTTGAAATGAAACATTAACATTAACTCCTTGACTATCATACTCCTTGTAAAGTACACATTTTTAAACGTTTGTGATTCATTGTACCATTGTACCCATTATATTGCCTTATAAATGAATCAGACTAGAGTTTTTCATTTAAACAATTAAGTTTAAAAATTTTAAAAGTAAACAGTCTGATTTGTTTAAAGATTGTGTTACAGTTGTTCAAAATGAACTTATCAAATAAATAGATGTGTATTCGCTATATTAATCGAAATAATCATATTAATTTTGTGTTTTGTACAAATGATGAATTCTTCGCAGATTTTATTTATTTAAATCTTATTATCAGAAGGGGTTTGTGGAGATTTCAATCTGTGAAATTTTATCTCCTAAAATTACTCAACTTTTTCCCATAAGTTGTACATACACTTGTAAAACTAATGAGTGTTCAGGTATCAAAAAAAGGTTATTTTTTATATGTTAAATACATCAATTATATCATAAGTTACATCACTGGCTGCCAACCATTGAAAACTAGAAAGCAATGAAGAGCTGTTTTGTCGTACGTAGTATGGGACTTCTCAGTGATGTGCATCCACGACCATATCTGTGATTAAATCCAGGATTTTTCATGTCTCGCGTCGAGCTTTGAACCCGTCATCTATTAGTTTACATTTTTAACTTGAGTGAATGCTCAATATCGCTCTACAGGAAAATGCAATCCATATAATTTTGAAAAAAAATTATCGTTACTGTCATTTCTTTTTACTTGCTATCAACTGGTTAGTTTACATTACAGATCGTCTTACAACAAAAAAAAATTTTAAAGAGATTTCGCTCGTTTATTGAGGTTATACATATATATCCATTTACGACAAATCGACTGACACTCCCTGAGTCGCAGTGGTAGTAGTAATTCACTTTGAAGATAAACAATCGCGAAAATTTCAAATATATTTCATTATCAACAGGGACTTTACGTGTATATCATTAGAGCGATTGCGAAAAAAACAACTAATATTTGGTAGTTTAGTCATTCAGTAACTGTAATCTTATGTAGGGCACGTGATAGGAAAATGAACAAGCACATGATGTATATATTGATTTATTTTTAATTACACTTTGTACTTTAATGTTTGATAGTGTACATTGATTTTTTCTTCAGTGTGCATGACATTCATGTCTATTTAGGTAATTACAATGTTCATCGTTCCTAAATAATAAGTAGTTCACTTTACAAAGTACAAATAAACATAATCTCCATTTTTCTACTGTTATTTGTATTGATTTTTATACTAAAATTTATCCAGACAAAGTTGTTCAGTATGTGATTAGAGAAGCATTATTTATAGTAGGTGGTGGTGATTTTGATATGTTACTTTGTAATAAACGTGATATGCCATGCATCAACTGGATTGAAGTATTGCTACCTTGTTAATTTGTGACTTGTAGTATGTAATCTGATTATCGTGATGAAACTACCGTTTAGCCTTAACTGAAGGATTCCTTAATACAATAATCATTCATTACAACGCATTCCCAACTCTCCCTCTCATAAACAGTAATTTTAACTTTACTTGACATTAGACACTATACGTACAAATATTCAAGTAACTAGTAATACTATTTTGTTTCACGCTAGTATTTTAGATTCTATATTAGTCCAACCAACCGCTCTATGGTTATCACAGGATGATTTTGACTCCTTATATATTGGAACAGTCAGTGATTGCGACCAGTTGGGTTGGATTACGTCCAACTCCCAGATTTTAGCTAAAATATTAGTCAACCTAATCGCTAAAACTGGACCACCATCCTTAGAGACCTCTGGAGCCAATCCATCTGGATCACCTGCTCCTCCTTGTTTCAGACTAGTTACAGCTTTTTAAACTTCAACTAGAGTCGAAGGACCTACTTCAATGTTCCATTCAGGCTGTTTGGGAATGGTGGGTAGTTGTAGGGTAGCCGAAGGCCAGCTGAACTGCTCTTTGAAGTGTTCTGCCCGTCGTTCTAAATGTCTTTTTAAGAGATCGTCTCACTCACTCATGACTTCTTAATTCCAGTTTCTTTTATTAGTCTGAAAAGCTGTCTTTATTTATTTATTTTGACATAGATATTGGTACAAGGAGGCACCAAATACATATGCGCCACACAAATCTCATTCGATATGTGTGATGGCTGTGATACTGCCCGGTTGCCCAAACCGAAGCAGGTGGTTTTCTTAGGGGGCCACCCCCCGAGCCTTCGACCTGAAGGTCTGATCCATAAGGCAGTGGAGCATCGTAAGGAGATTCAGTCCCGTGGAAGCCGGTGACCAACGATTGGTTCATACGCCATTTGTTCCTTCAGGATAGTGGAGCCCATGTGCACCATTGGTTTGGAATCCGGTTAAAGCGCCTGACATTCGCTTTTCGTCCTCTCAATTTCGTAAACAACACCCCCGTCACGAGAAGGCAATGAGTAGGACCTCCCTGGCAGAGGCTATATACGCGTGGCCATGTGAGAACATTTCGAGAGGGAGAGCGAACTCTCCCCACTCTCGGCCGTACCAGGGTATTTGGGGGCTGTTTGGTGTTTCCTACAGCCACTACTTTTTCCATTTCTTGCTTTCGTTGCCCACAACTGCTCACCGTCGTTCATTGGACTTTTGGTTAACGTAGATCTTACTTGTTTTCGCTCTTCATCGTGTTCAGAGCCTGATGGAATGAGTTTAGGAAAACCTATCTGTTGGGATATTCAGAAAAATATCCCCAAAATTATCCTGTTAAGTCTAATGCTATCCTTGAACGTGAAATGGTGTCATTTTCCTATTAGTCAATATTTATTTCACGTGTCATTTTCCTATTGGTCAATATTTATTTCACGTGTCATTTTCCTGTTGGTCAATATTCACGGCAGTCCTAACTGTATAAATATGCATTAGTCTGTAAATTTTTATTTTTCTCCTGACCCATAAACAATTCTCATCTACGGTTTGTGTTCTGATATATTGGAGATTGGGAACAGTATTGGGGTCGTACTGGGATATCTGAAGTTGGTCATTCGGTAGAAATTAGAGTAGCCACCCCGCGGTCTACAATACTATCAATGCAATAGACTTAGTAGAAATCCACTGGTTTCTCGTAACCCTTTGGTTTAACTTACTAATTGATGTCGTTATTGTTTCCACATCTGTCCATATATCTTCCTATTTTTTTTATTTATTTAAACACATAAATATTAGTATAAAGGGGCACCGAATACACATACGTCACACATGTCACTTGATTTGTGTGTGGGCTTTGATACTGCCCGGGGGCCAAAATGAAGTGGTCACACCCGGAGCCTTCGACCTAAAGGTCTGATCCACAAGGCAGTAGAGTAAGTTTGAGAGAGGCAGTCTCATGTTAGCCGATTTTTTCATGCGCCATCTGTTCCCTCGGAATCCTGGAGCCCATGTGCATTATTGGTTTGGAATCAGGGTCCTCCAACTCCCTTAAGTGGACCCAGTTGAAGCCCCAGACATTATCGCTTCGTCCTCTCAACTTCGTAAATAACACCCTCATCGAGAGAAGGCGGTGAATAGGACTTCCCTGATCGTGGTCTTATACGCATGGCCATATGTAAGCATTTGGAGAGGAAGAGCTAACTCTCCCCACCCTCGGCCGTACCCTGGCATTTCACTATATTATCTTATCAATTTCTACCTTAGGTCAGTACGTAATCATAGTTTTATATTCATTTTGTGTAGTCGATAATCGACATAGAGTTCAGTCGTTTTATATCCCAATGGTTATTTTATTTTCTGCTTGCTCATCTCATCTTTTTTCGTCTATCGTGAATAAGTTGTCTCAAAACAAGACAGGGGAGACTGTGATTTGTGGACGATCTTCGTGTAGTACTAAAGTTTCCTTGAAAAACTGCAACCACTTACTAGGATCGAAACGTGGTAATTAATTTGTGAGGCATTAGTATTATGAGGTAAAGTTAAAAGTCAGGGTCAGAAATTAGAGTTAGAGTTCTTATGACTAACTGGCATTATCTGTAATACTAAAATCCTATTTAGCTATATGTATGAACGAATTTCATGCTAAAATCCAAGAATCACTGTCTTAAATCTGATTGGGTTGTTCATAAGTTATAGTCCCACTCAATCCGACTTTAAGGGTAAATTTTCAGTCAATAACATAGCAACATTTAACACCGTTGGATGCCGGCTCACCGATCTAGAGGTTAAGCGTGTGCGCGCGAGACTGAAGGACCATGGATGTGCATTACTGAGGAGTCTCGTGCTAGGACGAAACGACCGTCAAACAGTTCCTCTGGGTATTTGATGATGGTCCAACACTGATCGGCTCATGATCTCAATCAAAACTCAATAATCTCCACAGTCGTATACTACTACTACTAATAATAATAATGATAATAATCTAACTCATATACCAAGTCCAGGTACTCGGCCTTAAGCCACTATGTTTGTGTGATCAATGCTACTGCTTCTATTAAGTTGACTAGGCTTTGAAGGTAGACCAGGATTTGAACCTACAGCCTGCTGCCTGAAAGTTGAGTGTTTCAATCAATAAATCTACAACATTCTGTATAACTTAGTTTCTCGAAATATTTAGCCTTTCGTCCGTGTAACTTTTAGTTATTACATTACAATTTTCGCTTATGCATTTTATCTGCTCTAATCGATTGTTTTCTTGTTATTTCTCTTTTTAACTACAAATTAAATATAATTCATCAGATATATAAGTCGACAAAATGCAATGATGTATTAAATTCTGGTTATTGTCCACGTGGTCCTTTCTGTGCTTTTGCACATTGCGATTCAGAAATGTCGATTGGACGCGATTTTTCTGCAAATGTACAACAGGAACAACCTGGACTGATTATGGAAACTAATAATAATAATAGTTTATCATCAAATAATATTTCACTCTCATCTAGTTCAATAACGACGGGAATCACAACAACAACTAGTTCTTTTCAATATCATCGTCATATTCCTTCTGATATTTCAATGATTTCTCATGGTGGTGGAGGAAGCGAAAATCAACAATATTCTGCTTATTCTCCACATCTTCATCTATCTACACCAAGTGCTGTGAATAGTAATTTACGTATTTTAGGCACTAGTTCCACTACTACTCCTACTATTGCTGGTATTAATAACAGTAATAATAACTTACCACCGAATTTAATGTCCAATTTAAACGCCAATTTTTCAAATTTATCGTCTATAATTACTTCACCTCAACAACAACAGATATCTCAACGTACAACCTCTAGTCAACATCATCATCATTACCATCAACAGCATTTGATAAATTTTCCTTCTTCTACAATAGAATTTAATAAGTCAAGTAAATTCAGTCGATTATTAGTTTTGATTTTAGCTTTTATTATCGATATAATCAGGTACATTTTAGGCTACATATCTATGAAAATGCCTACAAAATTAGTTTGATTTTATGAATTAATTAAAGTTAGACTTGTTCACCAGTGAATTTTGGCTCAGTGGTCTAGAATTTGAACTTTTGAGTGTGAGATCGAAGGTCCTGGATTCGATTGCCGGTCTCGTGAAAATGGTTTCGTATTGCTGATAAGTATTATATTAGAATGAAAGGTTGTCCAATGTTTTCGAGGTTTCAACAGTCGCCTAACTTAGATCGATTCATGATCCTCAATATTTTAGTTCCATTTTCATTCTGGTAACGTCAAATAAGAGTGATGCTACTGTCATTGTTTCATGACCACATATGTACCAGTTTTAAAATTTTTCTACTATGTGTAGAGAGTTCAACCTCTCATCAATCCAACGTAAAACTGAATGAATTATGTTCCACTGTATGAAAAAGTATGATTTATTTTATAATGTTACGAAAAGAATTTCATGAAAGACATTTGAGTTCGGAAAATATATGAATTAAGTTAAAATGTTTTTTATTGAGATCATGAACCGATTAATGTTAGAACACCTTTGGAAACCTGGAAGCATTGGACGGCCGTTTCTTCCTATTGTGGGACTCCTCAGCAGTGCGCATCCACGATCCGCCTCGTGGGACTCGAACCCAGGGCCCTCAGTCTCGCGCGCGAACGCTTAACCTACTGCACCACTGAGCCTGCACCCAGTGGTGATAGTGTCTAACATCAATCCACGAAATTGCGCGACCGATTTCCATTGTACTGAGGTAGATACCTGTCTCTACCCGACATGGATTAGCTCCACTGGTCACAGCTTCTCACTAGAACTCCAAGAATTCCCTCACGAAGCTAGTCACTAGTGAGCACATATTGATTACTAGTATAGTGGTTGTGGAGATTATTAAGGACGAAACCGCCGTCCAGTGCTTCCAGGTTTTCAAAGGTGGTCTAACATCAATCGGTTCATTATCTCAATCAAAAACTTAATAATTCCACAACCCTTATACCAGTAAGTTAAAATGTGTTGATACAGTCTGGCTGAATGCTACTGATTTATAGACTCGAGCTCTCGAAAAAACTAAGATCAGGGATAATTATCCAGAAGAATACGATTTTATTCGACTAAATGACAGACATACAAAACACTTACACAAGAGCGAACTTGATTAGGTGTCGTGTGAGATTACTAAACATTCTCTAGGTTGTCTACTCACCGGCGACTTTAATGTTTGTCCATCATTTCAGTATTATTGAAGATAGTTAGACCATAGTGTAGAATCTTACTTCATTAATGTCTAGTCGTTGAAATTTGATCTTCACTACTAGTTGAAAACCTTTCGAATTCCAATCTTTTCCTCAGTTAGTAAGAAAATACTCAGCGTGAAAGTCTTTTAGAAAGTATTCGCAAAATATGTACTGGTAAACAAGTCTTATATTACATTATTCTTGCTTATTTATTATTGTTTACAACGGTCCCTAAAAACACCCCGCTTGTCCTCAGTATTACTGATATGCCAGGAATAAAGTAGAATTTCAGTCAGTCAGTCAGTCAGCTAAAACGAAGGATCAAGCACATACATGCAACGTGAAAATTGCCACATCGCATTAGCACAACAAGATGAACACCGAATTCATAAAGTAGTCACTTCAATGATGGTAATGTATAAAACAAAGATTGTGTATAAGGATATAATACAGGAAGAAAGAACTAGTTCGTAGAAAGAAAGATATAAAGCAATTTTAATCTCACGGTTTAAGAAAAGAGAAAGAGTATATACACCTACATCACTGTGATCGATTCTGAGCCATGTCACCAAGAGTCTCCAACCATCGGATACGATAGTCACGCGGACCCCAACCAAGTAGTCTGCATCTACCAACATGGCTCAGACTAGAAGTTAGTGACTTCGAGGACTGATGCCACATTTTGGTTTGGCAGCCCCCAACTTTCATCCAACCATCCTCAACACTAGTCTGCATTACTCGTCATGGTAATCGGTGTTCAGGCATACGTAACACGTGGCCCAACCATCTCAGTCGATGAAGATTCACAACCTCATCAACTGACTTACCATCATTCCCTAATACCCTACGTCTAACCTCACTATTACTTACCCGGTGATCCCAACAGACGCCAGCTATATTTCTAAGGCATCTGTGGTCAAATACTAGTAGCTTACGGGTGTCTTCTACTCTTAAAGGCCATGTTTCACTGCCGTAAAGTAAAACAGAACGAACTGCCGCGCAATATACTCGTCCTTCTATTGATAGACGGATATCTCGCCTTCGCCACAGGTGACGTAAGTTGGCAAAAGCCAAACGAGCTTTTCGAATCCGTGCTGAGATTTCGTCCGATACCAATCCATTAGGGCTGATCATACTTCCAAGATAAGTGAAGTTGTCAACGCGTTCGACTACTTCACTCCCTATCCTTAGTTCAGGTGTTGACGCAGGCCAGTCCTGAAGCAAGATTTTGCATTTAGGGGGGAACTCATTCCAAACATCGTGGCATTGTTGCTCATTGCTACCAAAAGACTTAATTTCATCAGCCTCTTCACCAAACAAGACTATGTCGTACGTGTATTTTAAGTTGATTAGTGGATCTCCTGGAAGGAGATCTGTGCCCGAAAATTCAGTCGACGAGAACGTCATTTCTTTCAGTAGATCTATGATGAAGTTGAACAGGAATGGAGATAATGGATAGCCTTGTTGGACACCATTTGAAGTTGCAAAATCAGATGATAGTTCGTCATAAGTTGTAACTTGACTATTAGTGTTCGAGTGAGTGGCCTTCACAAGGTTTACGTACTTCTGGGGTACATCTTTCAATGACAGACACTGTCACAGAACTTCTTGGTCAGCAGAGTCAAATGCCGCTTTCAAGTCTAGGAAAACTATCATTGTCGGACGCGGGTAAGGATGCCTGTGTTCTAAAACCTGACGCGTGGTGAATATGTGGTCGATGCAGCCACGACCAGGTCTGAAGCCAGCCTGACTTTCTCGTGTCTGCAGTTCACGAGTCTTATTTAGGCGTCCGATAATTATTGAGGCTAGTATTTTAGATGCTATATTAGTCCAACCAACCGCTCTATGGTTATCACAGGATGATTTTGACTCCTTATATATTGGAACAGTCAGTGATTGCGACCAGTTGGGTTGGATTACGTCCAATTCCCAGATTTTAGCTAAAATATTAGTCAACCTAATCGCTAAAACTGGACCACCATCCTTAGAGACCTCTGGAACCAATCCATCTGGATCACCTGCTCCTCCTTGTTTCAGACTAGTTACAGCTTTTTAAACTTCAACTAGAGTCGAAGGACCTACTTCAATGTTCCATTCAGGCTGTTTGGGAATGGTGGGTAGTTGTAGGGTAGCCGAAGGCCAGCTGAACTGCTCTTTGAAGTGTTCTGCCCGTCGTTCTAAATGTCTTTTTAAGAGATCGTCTCACTCACTCATGACTTCTTAATTCCAGTTTCTTTTATTAGTCTGAAAAGCTGTCTGGTGTTGCTCACAGCCACTGCCTTTTCCATCTCTTTTGCTTGCAGTGATTAAACATGGGGAATCACTAAGAACTGTTAATTTGAACCGACCAAGTTCCTGTTTATCATTTTCATTCATGTAACCTGATAAACAAACATCCTTTTACAATTCATCTAGAAAAGATAACACTAATACACACTCTCCTCATTTGTACAAAATGTTTGTATTCACAGTTTGAAAGCTAAGATTCTGCTATAGACCTCATATCTAGTATTCTCCATCATTATTACTATTAACCTGTCTTTTCGTTTATTGTTATTTTGTTCTATACTATCCCAAACGTGTTGTATATTAATAGCCATCTTTTCTAGAAACACCAAAACGTCTTATAAACGATTGATTTTTTATTAATTCACATTTCGTACCAGTTGCGGAATTAAAGCTCGATGTACACCCTATTAGGTGAAGAATGTATATTTGTGTATATCTCCTGCTGATTGCATAGCGTAGCGTAATGTAACAAAGCCAAGTTGGTTGCCTAAAGTTTATTCCATACTCGACAGGGTAGATTCTTCCATCTTATCAGAAATCTATGATTAAATGTTTAATAGGGAGTCATAACTGCTTCGTGCTTGTTTTAAGACTTACCTATATATTTATCAGTAAATAATATCCTATTTCAAAGATTTATAGTTGTGCTCTCTGTTTGTTTTGAATATACATATTGTTCTACTTATATTTTGTTTCAGTTAGTACCAGTGATCATTCTGGAAGATGTTCTCATATACCACCAAACCCTATGACGTCAAACGTGATATCACCTCTCGGTTCAACGCCAAATCAATCGTGTATTCGTGGGCGTCGTCTTGCTCGTTGTACATCCCCCCGTACAACAAGTATGTGGCCCACGTTCAACTTGATCGCTAATCCTGGTAATGATAGGCAGCATTTTACTCAATTACCAGGTCCATCAAATTCAGATGCTAGAATTGGAGCATGCTCTTCCTTGGGTGTTTTATCACCCAGTGCAGTTAGTTCAACTTGCTCTCCAATTCAGAATACTCACTTTTCACATTCACGAAGTCGTCCTATACCTGGCCAATTTCATAACGGTAAGTAAGCTTGTCGAATATTGTTCAGAAAGAAATTTGTTTATCGTTTTTTTTGTTCAAAAATAACCGGTTATCATTCTCTGATAAGATTGTTTAGAAGAGTCGGTAAATAATGCACTTTGGTATATATAGTAGTAGCACAATAGATCCCATGTTATGACTGATTAACACTGGTCGTGTTCATTTTGCAGAAGCGTTTTCTTTATTCGAATTGTTGAAAATACTGTACGCAAGTCATATTTAGGTTACTATCCTAGCTGATGGTCAGGTGTACTATTATTTTTTTATCAATAGTCATTTTGGAACTACGAAATAGTACTACTGTAGTCTGTCATATGTGGTAAAATTTGGAATCTCAACGTAAACTTATCTTTTTTCTCTTATTTATACTTCAACGCTTCAGTATATGGAAGTATATATAATAGCGACAATGGTGTTGGTAGTGATAGTTAATATCATTACAACATTGTAATGATGCGTATTTCTTTTAGCTTGTTGGCTTTAAATCCAAATCGTCAGTCGTCTTGATTTTTTTTTCAACGTTCAAACTCTAAGTTGGTTATTTTGATCTGACTTTAAATACTATTTTTTTCTTTGTTTTTGTTCGTATGCTAATGCCACTAATAAAAATAAGGTGATGGCCATTAGGGATGGTTAGTAGTATTAGTGATAAACAAATTATCGATCCTATCAAACAACAACAAAATGTATTTATTACTACTACTTTGTACTTCTCTTTTCCTTTGCACTTTTTTGCACTAATAATCAATTATTTTGTACTTGAATGGTTTTATTCACTTTCATTTTCTTCCTATTTAACTAGTGCTTTTTTGTCTCATGTGATTTTCGTTATTATTATGGGTTTTTTGTCTATCAAGTTTAGTTTTATGTAGATTATATTATTATATGACCAATAGTATAAATTAAATTTTGATAGAAAATTTTCACATAGTGTATCTGTGACAGAATATAGTTGTTCTCGAGTGTTGTTCGAAGAATTAAAGTGGTTGTCACTTCCCAATTGTTCACACTGTAGAAGAATATTTCTCTTTGAAGTTACGAAAAAGAGAACTTGGTTAGGAGAGGTCGGTTGTACAACTTTTTACTAGTAGTTTTAGATCGTGTTAGCTCTGTACTTTTCCAATTTTACTATCCTACAACACTTTACTGTCATCACACGCGTGAATAGTCGGGAGTACAACCCCTCCCTTGGACCATGAGTTGGCTAAGTTTCATCGTACCACTTTGTTAAAGGTTAGGGAGTTCTTTCAACCACTACGTAGTAGGTTCAAACCTCATTCTACCTACTTCGGTTTGGGCAACCATTTCATGCGAACCCATAAAAAAGTTAAATAGTAAAAAATAATATGACTAATGCTTAGAGACCTGAAGTTATGTATCTAAAATTGTATTCTAAACCGTTTATGGTGAACAATGTTAGTGTTTTTTCCTATCATTTTTACTATGTTTACACAGACTTAGCTATTTGTCTTTTGTAGAAAGAAACAACCGTGTGATGAAAGATAGGCTTTTAGATGTATAAATTATGTAAACTGTAGTGTTTGTGTCATCATCATCTGGATCGAAATGAAAAAGAGTTAAGTTATCATCAGTCAGTTCCATACTCGTATGTTTAGCTCTAAGCCATACTGTGGATACGAAGGGTAATAGTGATACTTATTTATTTGAACACACAAATAATGGGAAAGACAGTTCAATTAGCAAAATACGGCCAGGAGAATTCTTTCAGTTGAACAAGTTACGTTTTTTTTTATGAAGAAAGTAAAATCAAGTTACTTCAGGATCGCCACTTGCTTTTATTCTGAACCATATCCGATAACGTCGCCAGCGACTGTGTTGCACCATCTCTAGGACCCCAACCAGGCAGTCGTGAAGGACCTAAAGAAGCCAGCCCTTTACAGTTTTCTTTCATACCACGACACCATGTCATACACTGACCACTTCGCTTTTTCCAAGCAGTTCCAGCATCGGCAAATAATTCACGATGTGGAATTCTCTGGGACGACATTCGTAGAACATGTCCAAACCACCGAAGTCGGTAATTCAAGATGGTGACACCAAATAAATTATCGTCACTGCTCCCGAACACAGGATGCCGAACCTCTGCATTACTAATATGGTGTCGTCACTGGATGTCAGCAATCCTTCGGAGACAACGATGATCAAACACAGAAAGTCGTTTAACATCCTCAATTCGGAGAGGCCAGATTTCACAAGCATAGAGCAAAACTGATATCACCGACACGTTGTAGATTCGACATTTTACGAAGGTGCCAAAGATGACCCAGATTGGCATAAACCACTCTGGCTTTCACCATGCGTGAATTGATCTCACAACCCATGCTACTACCAGCACTTATGCAGCTACCCAGATATACGAACTTCTCGACTACTTCTGTCTGCACTTCAAAACTTGGAATTCCTTGCGGACTTCCGCCTCATTTAGTGGATCAGTCGCCACAGGTCATAGAGGGTAAGACAGCCTAATCGATGTTGCTGGGGCAACAGATCAGTTGAACTACCCCTCGTAAAACTCTACCCATCCTGCAAGACATCGATAGATGTTAGTAGTCAGTATCCTGCCATCTTCACAGATTGTTTCGCTCACACTAGACGTTTTGTTGCCAGTGGCTTGGATGAGTTGAAAGACGTTGCTCCACTGTCTAATTCACAAGGCAGTGGAGCAACTTTAGGAGATGCAGTCTCATAGTAGCCGGTGACCAACAATCGGTTCATACGCCGTTTGTTTCCTTAGGATCCTGGTGTCCATGTACACTATTGGTTTGGAATCAGGGTTCTACAACTCCCTTAAGTGGATCCTGTATATCCACTAACCCAGTTGAAGCTCCAGACTGACTGATCGCTTCGTCCTCTCAATTTCGTAAACAACACCCACACCGAGAGAAGGCAATCAGTAGGACTTCCGTGATCGTGGTCGTATACACATGGCCATATGTAAACATTTGGAGAGGAAGAGCTAACTCTCCCCGCCCTCCGTCGTACCAAGGGGCACAATTTTTAAATGTGTTCGATATAAAGAAAAAAATGTTATGGTTGTTACATACTTTTCATTACGTTATATAATCAAATATTTAGTCCCATGTGTAGAATGTAAATCGTTATAGGTAAACTATATTAATATTAGATAACTATAAGAATGAATCAACCAGTTGGGTTTTTAATAATCGTCACACTAACTAAATTTTGTTAACCCTTTTTTATCGCGTGTAAAACTAATATCAACAACTGACCACTTTTTTTCTCAAATTGATGTTTGAATTTATTGTCTTTTTTAGTCATTTTCATTGTATAGTGAGATGTGTTTGTGTATATCCATCTTCAGTAGGTCTACCTCTGTTCATAATGTGACAATCATAGACATCATTCTTTACATTTTGTTGCTTTACCATGTGAATCACATTCAACTAGCACATGACTACAAAATAAATATGCATTGAACAGGTTCTTTTTTCTGTTAGTGTAAACCTAGTTGATGTAGGTGCCTTGATATTATACAATTAATATATCAATCCACATATGAATGTTTATTAATAGGTAGTGGTGTCCATAAAAACTAGTGGATATGATACGATGCTATAAATCAAATGTATTCAGTGGTTAGAACATTCAACCTTCAACCAAGTAGGTCAAACGTTCGAATCTCATTCCTATCTACTTAAGTTCGAACAGTTGATGAATATCATCAGCCCTCACATTAAATGATATTCCTCAAAGTTCAGTGATGAAAAAAGATTGGATGTTTTTGTTGATAATGTATTCTTTCACCTAGTGTAATTATGAAGATTTTATTGTCTTCCTAGACAACATTATCATCACCTACTTCGTGTAAATATGAACTTTTCAGTTATTCATCAAGTGTTAAATCAGTTCTTTCTGACGGCTTTTTTATATTTGGTCATCTTCGTGAGCTTTTTTGGTTTTCATTTGTTCTTTCGTTTCTAATGACTCAACGATAACAATTCTACACCCTGACAAATTTCATTTCGCCATGATACATTATATGACATTGATTTATTAACAAAATTTCTGGGTGATTTAACTTAATTCTTTCACTTTTTGTATTGTATTTCCAAGTTTAATTTCCACTAACTATTAACTATAATTTCAATTTTATTTATTGTAATTTTTTTCAGTAGTTTTAACTCATTCTATGTCAACAGCTGGTTATACACGAGATACTAATAATAAAGGTCGTCATCGTAGCGGTAGTTCTATGTCCTCTGAAATTGGACAATATTCTATGAATGTTAAGGAGTTGACTTCTCCTCCTACTGCCTATCTGGATTCAACTTCAACTTATCCAGGTCGATGTGGTTCTTATAGTGGTGGTTGTGTTGTGGGTAACTTGAATAGAACTGCTACTTCCTCGGCTGTTGTTACAGTTGGCGGCGGTGGTGTTAGTTTACCGACACCAAATCAGAAGCAGAGTATGATGGGTGCGGCTACTTCCAAGCCTGTACTGTTAGGACAGCTCTCTGGGATTTATCAAAATGTGGTCACTCGTAAAAAGCAACAACAACCTAGTAGGTGTTGTAATTACATACATTTCGTTTGTTTTAATACTTATCCTCACCTTATCGCTCCTCCACCTTATGCGTTACTAGTTTAAATTATCGTATCAAAAATAATGACTGTTTTCTTACATCTCTGTTATCGTTTATATCATTTCCAGTAAATAATAACTTCGAGGTTTGTATTTTACTTTTGATGTATTTAGTGCATAGTTATGGAATAAATGAATACAGCGTTATTTAAAACACATTGGGACATAGTCAGTCAGCTATATACACCTCCGTGTTTACTTTGTTACATTCTTTTTACTTTGAATAATTACTACAGTTTTTATTACATTCGATTGTTTTTTCTTAATCCATTGATTTATTGTCGTAAATTTGCTTATTCTTCTTTTGTGTTTAAGATATGCTATGGGATAATTTTGAATCGACATCTAGTACAGAACAACAATATTTCTCGCCTAGTAGTTGTCCATGGTCTACAATGAACATAAGTGGTATTGGTAATAATGATAATAATGATGGGATTAATGAAACAGAAAATGATTTCAACACTTTTTTGGATCAATATCATATGCCTATCGGTATTGCTAGTACATCTTCTGTTAGTAATTGTGATGATACTAGTCGTGATAGTGGTTTAGTTCTTGATATGACATTGCCTCCAACTTCACCGCTTGAATCAAGTAAGAGTTGGTTTTTTCCAAATCCCTTTTTAAAATAACCAAAACTAATTTTAGTTGATTGTGTGAAAGTAGTGATTTTTTTTCGTTGTAAGCATTGTCTAGATTACTATTGCGAATATCGTGATATAAAAGGCATCCGAGTTAACTTTTTAATTGGTTAAACCTAATCATGTAAACCAATGAATCCCGGTTCAGTGGCCTAAAAATTGAAAACTCTCCATGAGGTATGAAGGTACTGGGTTCTATCTCTTTTGATGAGGTCCAAGATATACACTTACTGAAGTGGAGTCCCATATATGGATAGAAAAATTGTTCACTGCTTCTAGTTTATCAATGGTTGTTTAGCTAAAATCAGTTGATGATGAAGACTATTTAATTTTTATCAACTGTTAAAATGTCAGTTTTAGTTCCTAGATTCGATGGATGTCGCACACAAATGTGCTCCATTGTATGGTCTGTACAGTGTGCCGTCATTAATTTCTTGTTTGACCTTTTTAAGCCTCACAATTTTGTATCTGTACTTTATCAATTTATTTCTATGAAATACATTACACTACTGAGTCTTTAAAGAGATTTTTGCCTGTTTAAGTAGGTAAAAGTATGTAATATCTAAAGTGAATGTTTAGTGCCCCAGAGCTTTCAGTATTGATTTGACTGATTTGACCAATTTTATGCTGAATTTTCTGTAAGTCATTCGAATGCACAAATGTACTATAGTAAGATGGTGGTTTCGTGAGAATCTTCTATAGTTGTATTGTGGATGCATATTGAAGAGGAATTCCACAATACAACAGAACAGCTGTCTTACGCTCTCTGATTTCAACTCTTTATGGAGTCAGATCAGTTATATCTCCCATTCTTTATTTCTACTACAAGTTTCGTCACGTGACAATGATGATATCACCAACTGTGCTATTGATTTGCATACTAATGAATTTTCAGACTTTTTTGTTATTATTTTGTGGTCTGATTTGCAAGATATATATATATATATATATATTGTTTTCGTTATTGTTCCTTTGTTCTTTGGGATGTCTGTATATATGTTGCTTAGGCCTCGTTAACTCGGAGATATACGTAACTTCACAATTTTGTCAATTAATCTTTTTTCTTACTCTGTCCTTTCTTTAGCCTTTGTTTATCATTTTCCTAAACACTCATTTTTATTTACTGACGTGTTTATAGGCATCCCAAGTATATATATAATTGAGAAAACTATGTCAGTTATTTTCCTCGTTATGTATTAAGTAGGTCTATACACCTAACTTGATGAATTGAGATGTTCTTATTCGGTGATTGTTTAAAACGTTTAATACAATAATGGGCATATCCTAAATTCTCCATTATTTTATTAATAGACTCAGTTATCAATTATTGTTAGATTAAGACATTTTTTGTAACACTCCCATAAACACACATTATACCCGTCCATAAGTTGTGTATGAAGCATACACATAACTACTCTTGTGCTTCAGAAATTGAATTCCTATTACAGATTACTATCTTAGTATTAATTATTATAGTTTGTATCAATCATTTTGGTAATTTCTTTCAATTAAAAAAACGACGATAAAAATTAGTATGGAAATTCATCTTTAAGCAATTTTCTCAGAGATTTAACTGGAATTTGTTTTTGTAATTTTTTCCCTCCTTCTCATCTGATGTAGGTTATACTACTACTTTAGGCTCATTAATATTGTATTTAGTACTGTGTATGAGATAGAAAACTTCACCTTGATGATATTGATCTGTTACCTATAGAACTGCTATTTATTCAATACATTTTTAGAAGAAAATCTAAATGATGAAAGCGCAAAATTTAACATAATACTGTACAGATGTATTTTATTTCGTCACTTCTATTTGAAATGCAACTTCACATATATTTAAAATTTCAATAGTTGAGATCATGAGTCAATCGCAGCTGGACCACCATGGAAAACCTGGAAGCAGTGGACAACCATCTCGTCCTATTATGGGACTCCTTAGCACTGCACATCCACAATTCCGCCTCGGGAGATTCGAACCGAGGACCTATCAGTCTCGTGTGTGAGTTACTATCTCACAACAGACCCAGTTGAACTCCTGCAGTCACTGCTTCTCACTATAACTCCAGGAAATACCTCTTGAAGCCAGTCACTAGTTTGCATGTATTGATTCATATCAGAAGGGTTTTTGTGGTTATTGTAGTAATTTCAATAGTTGAAATCATGAGTCAATTGAAGCTAGACCACCATGAAAAACGTGGAATCACTGGACGGCCATTTCGTCCTATTGTGGGACTCCTCAGCAGTGTCGTTCAGTGCTTCCAGGTTTTCCATAGCGGTCTAGCTTGAATTGACTCATGATCTCAACTATTAACATTACTATAATATACACGAAAACCCTTTCTGATATATATAAAAGATCATTTAACACTAATTTAAAATGAATCTTTTCTGAAGGCAAGAAATTTTCTCTCACCATAGATATAAGACTTATTAGTAGGAAGTGCGGCAAATTGTCAGACATCCTCTTGTGGTTCTTTAAGTCTGATTAAGAAGAGAATAGTTTTAATTTATAAGCTAAGGGAATTAACAGAGAAAGAGGGGGTAAATATAGATGGTAAAGTTTAACGTGTTAAAATCAACATGGATATTGATCAAAAATACAAAGATAAATGAACTGTATTTGAAGAGAATAGTTGATATATTATTTTCTGTATGTAGAGACAATATTGTAATATATCTGTTCATATAATACGATTGAGTCATGTCAACCATTACATTTCCGTTAGTAGATAAGTTTATTCAATGTATTTGTATTTAGAAATGTCTTCGTGAAAATATTTTTAAAAATAATTAACCAAGTTTTCATTATCTCCATTCTTACTTACTCCTGTTACCCCTCATGAAGGCGCATAGGCCGCCCACCAGCATTCTCCATCCAACTCTTTCCTGAGCAATCTTTTTCATTTCTGCTTCCAATTCTCAACATAGTGTGTTCTTCGACCTTCCTCTTTTCCATTTTCTCTCGGGATTCCAAGTTAGGGCCTACCTCGTGATGCAGTTTGATGATTTCCATAATGTATTTTCTATCCACTTCCAACGTTTTTTCCTAATTTAATCTTCATCTGGAAGCTGGTTTGTTCTCTCCCACAATAGGCGGTTTCTGATGGTATCCGACCAACGGATATTGAGTATCTTGTGTAGACAACTGTTTATAAATACCTGTACAATTTTAATGATGATTGTAGTAGGTCTCCAAATTCTAGCTCCGTACAATAGAACTAACTACTTTGACGTTCGTATTGAAGATTCTGGCTTTGATGTTGGTTTGCAGACTGTTGTTTTTAGTTCTATGTGTTCTTCAATTATTTGAATGTTATCCTTGCTTCGCCAATCCTCGTCTGCATCACATCCTCGACGTTCATTGACGATGCTTTCCATGTACGTGAGACTTTCCCCATCTTCCAGAGTTTTTCCATTATGTGTGATTGGGTTGGTGTCCCCCATGTTGTATTTGAGATTCTGGTTTTCTCCCTTGTGTATGTTGAGGAATACTGACGCAAAGATTTCTGCTTCACTGTTTGTTTTCACTTCCATCTCCATTATGGCAGTCTACAAAATCTGTTTATATTTTTGTACATTTCTTGTCCGTTGTTCATTTTAATAATAATATGCTATAAATTATATAATTGCTTGGGATAAAATACGTGTCCATGAGTTTGTAGCATATCTATGAAATATCTAATATTCTTCTGTTCATTTAGTCAATGAGTCGTAAATATAAGAACAATTTTTGATAGAGGTTTCATTTCAATCTGCAAGTTTATTTATTTTATTATTAGAAGCTTTATTCAACATTATATTTTTGGTACAACATAGAATTCTCAGCATAAATTATTTCAACAAGTTTCCTTTTCTTATATCTTGATCGATTGTGACGATAAATTTTGAATGATGACCAGTTAGATGTTAGGAGTTCGGTAATCCACATTTGATTAATATTCATTCGTTTAAATGCATATTGCCAGCCACCGTGATGTCGCCGATTGTACCTTTTTGTATCCTGTATAGCGAAAGGTTGTAAACTTTTCATAAACGCGCCTGAATAGGTTATGTGCACAATAGACATAATGATGTGCTAAAACAAACAACAAAACAGATAACTTGATGAAGTATGTAGATCGGAGGAGCAGGTAGCCCAGATATTCAAGCAGGCCGCCTACAACTTGAATTTTTCATCTGGCAATTTTGGACGCGCTACAGTAGCGTGTTCATTGGGGACATATAAAAAACTTTAAATAATTGGATTGAATTCCCCATTACAAATTACACCTATTTGTAACACTGTCTGACAAGCGAGAAAAATGTTTGAAAATGACAGATATTGCACTTCTACTAAACATATCCGTGTATACATAAGTATTTCTCTATTTTATAGATTGTGGTGGATTTTTAAACAGTAATCTCGATGTCGATCTATTATCTCAATTGACACAATCGCAACGACAACAACATATTTCATCTAACACTGCTACGTCTGCTGCTGCCACCGCTTTCTTCGATGATATTAATGCAGTTTACCCAACATTTTCTCAAGATATGGTTTTTCATTCACCATCTGATGATGGTTTCATTTCGACACATTCTACTTCCGAAGAACTAGATCATCCTCAACATCGTCATCATCATTCTTCTTCGTTTTTAGTTACTGTCACTACAAGTAGTAATGTTGGTGTAAGTGATTGTTCATCATTGCCAAATTTTTACGCATCAAATCCAGTTAGTATACCTGGTAGGGGAGGAAATAATAATAAAGATATAAAAAGTTTACAAATGCGTTGTGAATTCTTGGATTCTATCACATGTCAATCAGATAATAATTTACCGCAATATGATTCAGCTCAATCGACTAATTTACAACAACAGGCTGGTAGCAGTAATAGTAGTATTATTCGATCGAGTAATTTTATCAAATCAAATCAACACATAGTAGGCTGGCCTTCAACTTTTATCGATGAAACTGGATATCATCGGCACAGTTCTCCTATATCTTCCCCAGTATCACTAAGTAGTAAGAGTAACAACAATCGATTTTCTTCAATTGTTGGTACACCCCTTGGACGCGTTAATCTGCCAATTTCGGCGGCGGCAGGAGTCGATTTAAATGCTTCTGGTTTAGCCAGTAGTGCTAGTAGTAGTTCTACCAGTGCTATGTCATTTGGTGCCATTGGTTCCCGTGTTCATCACTGTTCAATGGTCAGTTCTACTTTTTGTCATATTCACCATTTTCTTGTTTTGATCACAATATTTGTATTGATTTTGTTATTCTATTATTATTTAACTAACTAGGCTACAATTTCGAAGGGAAAACTGAAGGTGTTATTCGGATATGATGAAGTCGGGGATCCTCATCAACTAAGTTGAGACATTATTACGCAATGCCTAACTATCACTTACCTCGATACGGGATGTTTACTGATTTAGAAGTAGGTTAAAAGAAAACTGGAGATGGGCAATTTAAAACGCGCCATCAGTCCATAGAATTATCGACTGTCGAAATGAGCCATGTTGGTATTTGCAGACTATCTGGTTGGGGTCCGCACTACCATTGTAACTGGTAGCTGATGATGTCAGATGAGAAAGCCTAGAATACGTCTGAATGACACGGATGCATTCACCCTGACTCTCCCTAAATCTTCAGTTTCAAAATTATCTAATACTTCCACAAAAGAATTGTTTTTTCTCGAATAATATTGTCCCTAATGTTTCCTATTATCAGTGATGCTGCTACTACTTCTACTCTGGTAATTATTTTGATAATTTCATCTCTGTGCTGATGTAGCGTAACAAATTGAACCGGTGCGTACATGCACATAGTTCTATGTTACTTATGACTAAATGACTGGTTATTTTGAAGACATTTATCGAGGTCAAATGAGTGTTAGTAGTAACATTACTATCTCGTACACAATATATATATATATATATATATATATATATATATATATATATATATATATATATATATATATATATATATATATAGTTTTGTGGTACTATAAAGTTATTTAAATGAACTAATCCATTTCATTGGGATTAACCACTTCCGTTTCTTCGTATGTTATTTTGTTCAGTTATCACAATAAACTAACCACTAGTCATGTTACTGGTTGGCAATCAGGGTTCTCTTTTAATCTACGGGCAGCTCACTGTGAAATGATTTGGACGGTTTTATTAAATCCTGTGACTTACTTTTAAAGTAATTTATATCAATATAGCTATGGTGTTCATGAGTATTATTGTGATGATGGCTTAATGGTTAAGTCATTCGTCTGTTAATGACCGACTAGATGGCTTACTTAAATACTTTTGTAAACTGAATTATACTGAAATTTTATTAGTCACTTGAACTAACATAACTGTGTACACGGAACTATTTTATTCCACAGTGTAAAATTCTATGTTAATAATGTATATTTCTAAACATTAAATCACGTGAGTAGAAGACATGCATAGTCTGTAAGTTTTTAATCATAGCTGTCTTCGAAGTATTTCTCGTGTTTCGTGGAATCATCGATTGAGCACTGGTTGATGTTAGGCGTATACCACTTGACAAAGATGACAAATCGCTTGATCAGTTAGTGTCTCTTCATTAACGGTGTTTAGGACTTGTGTTAAGTATGACTAACTACCGCCTACCTTGAGAAACGATGCACTATGTTGATGACACCGTGTCTGTCTATCTAAAGCATAAATATAATACTACATTTTTTGTAATACCAGAGTTTGAACTGTAAACAGTTCCACCTGGAACTGTTGGAGCTTTTTAACTTAGCATAGTTATATAACTTTATATTTAATGACTTCTACTTTAAGAGCAAGAACAAACATTCTAGCAGAATAGTATGAATTCTTTTTTATTTTCGTTGGTTCTCGTCAGCTGCTTACAACCTGTGATATTTAAAATCATAATTACATAATGGGTTTAAATGACTTACATGAAAGAGTTTGATTGGAAGTTATATTAAAGACATATTCATATAGTATAGCAAAGGTGTAAATAAATTGAATAGACTAAATATTGTAAATATATACCTTATGTGAATGAGAACCTACGAAATAAAAATAAATTCATACTATTCTACTAGAATCTTTGTTCTTGTTCTTTTCAAAATGATAAAGGGAACTCATGTGTATGAAACTTCTACTTTACTTAATGCCCAATTTATTCTGGATATTGATCCTATAAATGTTGATGATTGTTTACAAAATAAATGTTTTATCATTTAAATCCTTTCATCGACATTTCCTTTCTCTCTGAAGTTCATATTTATGTTTTAAGATATTTAATAAGCATATATACTCAAACATTCACATAACAAAAGATTAAAACTTATGAATATAACAATTGTTATTATCCTTCTTACAATAATAACTTGTATTTTTTTTCTTTCTCTTTAATATTCATAATATTTCTATCATTATTACTTGCTTATAACCACAAAATCTATTAAATAAATATAATATCATACAACTTTATTTTCCTTTCTAAACTCCGGATACTCAAAACAGATTCCATTTATTCCTTTTTTTACTTCACATATATGTATTCTATCCGAAAAAAAATATTTCTTTTGGTTGTTTTCCTTTAGTTGAAATCATTCTATTTTTTGTATCCTTGATGAAATCGATCACAATTATTATTACTATTAACGTCCTAGTGATAATAACAGATTGGTCATGTGATCTTGTGTTTGAAGGTCATTTTATTTCGTTATTATTATTATCATTATTATTGTTGTCCTTCACTGTCCATTTTATATCAATTTACTTAAAGTTGATTGGACTATTCAATACATAGCGAATGATAGACAAACTAGCAAAGAGAGACATATTAACAATGCACTTTAAATCTTAGTCAATTTATGTTGACTTTATTGATTATAATCGATATTTATTAGAAAAAAATAAAGGCCAACTATGTGACATCCTACCTAACCATTATTATTATTATTATTAATCATGGTCGATTTTCATTAGAGTACATAATAAGTACATTTTTACAGTTTCAGCATACCAGATTTTGTGAGGAACAAATAGTGATCTCTAACATCAATCGGTTCATAATCTAAATGAATAACTTAACAATCTCCAAAACCCTTAAACAACTAAGTAGTTTGATTTTTTTTTCAATCTTAAACTCTGAGGCATATGTAGCCAGTTTCATGATGAATTTTATTCATATTTAGTTTTTGTATCTGCGTTTTTGTATACAAATTACTTTCACTATTAGCTTTATTTATGAATTAATGAGGCATTCATAAGTTACTTGTAATGAAATTTTGTCAAACTACTCACATCTATGTAATATGGAAATTGATATATTTCTTTTTTAGGACATAATATATTACAACTGTTTTGTATACTTTTTTTTATTACAGTCAACTTGCTCAAGTGTGCTTTTTCATTATTATCATCTCAATATTAATTAATCCTTGCAATACATTGTCTAGTTTTCTTTAATAATGATTTATAAATAACTTAGTTTCCAGCTCTTGTATATATTTGATGTTCTACCTGATTAGTTTAATATTTGATTAAGAAAGCATTTCAGGTTCAATTACCAATAGTTGAAGGGAAGAATTAAAAAAATGTGCCATAAATGTTATCATCACTATATCGCTATATCGATATTATTTATGGCCAACTCGAATCTAGTACCTAACCCATTTATCAAGTACAGATTTGTATACTTGGTTACGAGCCACGCTAGGTTTAAAGACTAGTGATACTATCCAGTTCCCGCAATCATAGTAAGTTGGGCAGGGTTCTGGTCTACAACTTAGTGGCTGAAAGTCGCATGCTTCAGCCTCTGAGCTACCATTCCACATAGCTCTTAGTGTTCCATATGATCATGATCGTGTTAATTTAGTTAAACTTAGTTTTTTTTAACCTTGTCATCGTCATATTCCAAAACCCAATATCTAACTATCTAATGAAATTGTAATTTTCAAATATAGACATCGGAATCCACAGACCAACCGGACAATAACCAGTCAACTAGATCACAACCATATTCAGAATGTTCAACTCAGGGTGGTATTTCTAATGTGTCTTCAACTTCATCTCCCAATCAACTGGATCTTGGTGGAACTCGAACAAGTTCTAGGATTTTCTCACATTCGATAAATGATAACTTTACCAACTTACCGCAATCACCTATTCTTTTATCATCTCCATTCAGTAATCCAGGTTGTGATCTAGAGCGTTTAACTTTACGTCGCGAATTAGATGAAGTAAAACAACTTTTAGATTCAGTAAGTTTATCTTACATCACCATAGTCACGTTTTGTGTGTTTTGAATTATTTTGTCTGTGTTCATATTTACTAGCCTAGGTTTTGAAAGATTAACTTTCTAGTCGAGGAAATACTCACTTCATCTTTCAATAAACCATACCAGATAATTCAGATAACATATGTATCAGACCAGTAACTTTTTCATAAATAAAGTTTTTATGTTCATTTTAATATACGATGATCGAAAACAAGTGGTATATGGTACCAGGTTTCTTCCTCTTGCTTCTATCTGAGAGACAGTAGAACCTGTGCTTTCATTAATATACAAGCATTTATCACTTGACTAGATGATAAGCAATTCACTTGTTATCAGTATGAGGATTGTAGAGGTTGTTGAATGTTGCTGAGATCGCAAACCGACCTAATTTAGACAAATTTTGGAAACCTAGAACATATTTATCCTAGTGTAGGACTCCTCAGTAACAATGCATACACACGATCTCACAACCGGGGATCTAACTCAGGACTTTCGTGTTGCACGTGAACACTTAACCTCTGAGTCACTGAGATGGAATTCAGTAGTGTACGTGTCGAACTTTGATTATCGCTCAATATTGCGAATTTATCGAAGTAGAAGTTTTTGCTCTGAAGACCATGATTAAACCATCCAACTCAGAGGACAAAACTGCAAAAATAGTTCACCTGATTTAAAAATCTACATTTTATAAGTATAGATAACTTTTAGTGGTTAGTAAGTACTTGACATAGAAAATGGTTTCGAAACCTCTTTTGATCAAGTGTGTAGTGGGTTTTAAATCATATGTAGGTTAAAATATCTACGTTAATTTTATTGGTGTTATATTTTGAAATTGGATTACGTACAGGCCCATGATACGAAACGATTGAACGTATTCTTATGCAAACGTGTTCGATGGCGAACTCAATAGAACAACACACAATAACATTTCAACGTCAATATTGCACATGCTAATATATGATAAAGAAGCTGAGACTTTCTGAATAGTTTTTTTTATCTAGAAAAAGAGTCAAAAATTAAAGTGGAACAAAAACTCTATTTATACAGCAATATTCAAAATTAACTATATATATATAGAGAGAGCTCTCTCTAGGAAATTGGGATCATGCAGAATTTCATCTGAATATGGTGAAGATTTGTAGCTCAGGTGGATGATTTTGATTGAGTTTTGTTCTCTGGGTTGGATGGTTAGGCCGTGAAGCTTTCATCGTTCTTCTGAACGACATCAGCATAAACTTCGTGTAGAAGTGAAGCGTTCGAATTTCTCCACATATGACCCACAGTTTGTCCTGTAGACCTTGATTTTGTTTGGTTATTGTTGACCCTTAATATGCCATCGTTCACTTCTTTATTTTTATTGTATCTTCTACTGATGTCATGGCATGGCATGGCATGTCCTCACTTTTATCAGTGTATGTGGACACCCATTGGATTGGGGAAATGTCGAGACCTTAGATAAAGGCAATTCTAAAAACACTGGTGAATTTTTAAAAGCTTGGCACTCAGGTTAATCAGCAGTCAACAAATACACTGAAATCGATTCAATCTATCAAATAATCAGAAGAATTATGGACAAATAGGACCAAGAATCAAATAAATGGGAGATACAGTCAAAATAAAGAAGTAAACGATGACAGGTTAAGGGTCAACAATAACCAATCAAGACCGAGGTCTACAGGACAAGCTGAGGGTCATATGTGGAGAGGTTCGAAAGCTTCATGACCAGGCCATCTAGCCCGAAGAAAAAAACTACCGAAATTCCGTCCACTATTTAATAATTACGCACACGTGCACAGGGTTTCAATTATATTACTATTAATAATTTTACATTCTCTGTTTGTTATTTCAATTTGTAGAAGGAGGGTGAAGTGGAAGTTTTAAAAAAGCAAAGAGATTTTGTTACAGAACATTTACGTGATTCGCTTGGTGTAATTCGTCGTTTATTTCATTCATTGAATATATCGCCATCAGCTTCGACTGATTTATTTAAACCATTATTTATTGATACCGAAATTAATAATATTAGCAGTGAACAGAGTACCGGTTGTTGTTATGCTCAAAGTTTATCATCAGAATCAAATCCATGTGAGAAATTTAAAACGTGTATGCAAACTTCACCTATGAAAAGTCCTAGTCCAAGTGGACCAATTGATTCAGTTAGTCGAAACCCTCTACAGCAACAAGAAGCATTAGCAGCTCTATTCGCTAACCCACTTGTATCAGCACTTTTGAATAGTCATCATAATAACGATATTGATACGATAGATGATGATGGTTTCAACAAGACAAAGTCTGAAATGCAGGTTTGTTATTTAAATTAAATAAATTTTTGTTAGCTATTCCTATGATAAATGGTATTGATCACAAATTGAACGCATTTGGTGTACTATTGAAAATCAGGGAGTGCTTTATAATCATTGCATCCTAGTATGGGCTCCTCTGCAGTGCACACCTATGACCCTATCAGCGATCGATCTGAGAACCTTCAGGTCTTGTAGTAAATGCTTAACTTTTAGAATCACTGGGTTGACGTCCATCACATCAGTTAGTGGCTCTATAAACTCACGCGACATCTCGGTTTAGCTTCTTATAATCTTCTTCTGGCATATTCCTGCATCAACAAATATCACACATCGAAGTAGTTAGTGGTCGAGGATACATAATACACACATAGGTAGGCAGTACTTGAGCATCTGTGACACATATCCCAACCATTTTGGTGAATGAGGATTTACTAACTGATCAACCGATTCGCCACCTAATACTTTACGTCTAACCTCAGCATTGATCATTCAATACTCCCAGCATACACGAACAATGCTTTTAAAACATGTATGATTAAACACTGGTAACCTACGAACACCCTTTCAGTCAGTCGCAACATAGAACTTGATACGTATATACATCGGTTCAAGTTGCTATACCCCATTAGCAGAGAGATGAAAATATCAAACCAAACCCATAATAGTAAATGGGTTTGGCCTGATGAACATTGATTCTTCAAATAGCCACGACTATCACAACTATCAAATACCAAAGAACAAACTATTGGATGATATACTTGTCCTTTGATTAAGAGACAGATTGATATGTCTCATGTGTCATAAAAAGTTACATAATTTGATATAAAGCTTATTAGATTTTCTCAATTTGTATTGAGATTTCATCTGATATAATTCCTCTTTTAAATACTAACTTCAACAAAGTGGGCTAATGGCCTGTCATAGTTTCCAATGCGTTTCCATCCATTTCATCTAATACTACTATTATTCTCCCTAGTTGGTTATATTACTATTGTTTGCATGAATCCATCTATTCGTGCAATCTGTAATAATTTCATATACAATATTCTTAATTAGTTATATTTGTGTGTATGCCTATGATAGTACTTCCTAATGTTATGTGTTGTATAGGTAATATATGTGTATACAATAATAATACCATTATAGAATAAATTAGTTTTGTGATGTTTGTATGTTATGTTGAGTGTATTGTGTTACACATGATTTTCTATTCTTTCCTCTACCTTTATTTCGATAGATCTAGAGAGATATTTAAAAAAAACGTGTTCACTTAATAACAACAACATAATTATGTACTTTTTAAATATATGTATATATAATTCTTGTTTTATAAGTACATTGCACATGTTTGCTGTGTTTATTCATTCGTTCACGTGGTGATAAGTACTCTCCTGTTATAAAGGAAAGGATAGTGTGTGATTACTCTGGTCATTCCGTTTTTTTTATAAAGTAAAAAAACTGTAATTATAATCGTTCCAGTCAATTTTTTATATTTGCCTGCATTTTTTCGTTCCCCTCTCCTTGTTTTCTGGTAGGTTTTTATTATCGTTTTATAGTGTTAATAATTAAAAGTTATCAAACTATATCCTGTTATATGTGAAAAAATCAGTATTTCATCTCTTGTTCTTGTATGAACTTGATAATCAGTCGCCTCACTGTTATCGTTACTTTAGTATCTAATTGTTTGTGTGTAATATTCGTCAGGGATTGATCTCATTTAGGATGGTAATACTGAAAAACAGTGTTGTACTAGACAACACTTTTGTACTTCTGCAGAGTCCCATGCTAAGACGAAACAGTTGCATAGTGGTTCCTAGCTTTCAATAGTATCTCAAGTCGTTTTGACCCTAGCAAGGTAGGTAGTCATTTCTAAAATACTATCTCTAGTTTGTTTCTACTGTATCATAGTTTCACTCTCATTGTCTCTTTTGTTAAACGTATGTAATATGCAACCAGAAATATGTGTTTGTGCAGTTTTTCCTACAAGTCACTAATCTCCTATCTTTCTCCCTTTGGACACTGCATTCATTCCTGATAGATAATAAAGTTTTCTTATATTTTCTCATTTTATCTAATTCATGATTTTTTTTTCCTGCAGTAAATAAACATTTATTTTATTAATATTTCTTTTCTAAAAAATATCTATATTCAATTTTAGTTTCAAAATTGGAATTTACCAAATAGTAATTATAATACAGATTGTATACAACATGATAATGAATCATCTGTGCATGAACTCAAAGAAACTTTCAATAATCCATGTTTATTATCATCTACTTGTGCTGGTGTTGATAATGGTGGTACACATAACAATTCTGATTATAATGATGATGACGATCTATTCTCTGCATCAGGTTTGCTATCATTATCTAATCAAGAATCTTGTGATTTAGATCAACAAATAGTAGAAGATAGTAATACAGAAGAATTGTTAACACATCATCATTCGACGACTTTTGATGTGCCCACTATCGCTAGTACTTCTGTTTCTGAGTTGACAACAACCACGACGGCAGATACATTGACAATATTAACTAATAATACTACATTTGAAGAATCTATTGTACCGACCACTGAAGTGACAGTTATTGAAGAAAACTCATTCCGATCGAATACAATAATGAATACTGCTACTGTCGATCCTGTTACTACTTCTACCAGTACTAGTTTTGCATTTCAGAATTCATCCCTAGATATACAACATTCGGAAAGTAATAATAATGATAACAATAAGAAACAAAACAACAACTGTGGCTTATCAACCTCATCGTCATCTAAACATATAACTAATGAAAAACAACCTGTCTAATATGTTTATTGCTATCACAAACACACACACACACACAAAGAAAATTACATCATTATCATGCTTAGTTTTTTTCTCTCTAGGTCCTGTTGCACTATATTACCATTATATAATGATCATATATAATTCATAATTATTAGAGGATAAAAATAAAATCAACAAAGGATAATTCTAGTGAACGAGACCGATCAAAAGTATGAGAGTTGAAACAATTTATACACAATAAAATGTAAAAGATGATCCCTAATTAGATTCAGATTTATTAGACAAGATTCTTTTTGTTTTCTTAATTTATTCTTAGTGAAATATTTGATTACAATATTAACTATTAGCATTGTTATTGTTATTCTTACTTATTGTTCGACATTGTTTAGGTGTCTATCTGATTTTACGTATGTTATTATTATTAATACGATTACTATTATCTATTTTCATAAACATTTCACATATATACTACACATAGTCTCAATTAACTGAGCCGACAATTAATTCATTGTAACAATATTTTCCCATTATTGTGTTTTTGCTAGTGTGTATGTTGCGATTTGTACTTTTCTCTCTCTTGTCGTAAATCATACTTTTTCTTCTTACTTTCAATTAATTCTATTCGGTTGTCGGTCACATTTATGATGAGATAACAGAAATAATTAAGAATAAGGGTGGGAGGAATGGTGATTCTCTCTCTTTTTCTTTTCTACTATGTTTATAAACAAACAAGCAAATAAATATTATCACCACCCTGAACATACATCATTTATTAGTTGTAGTAGTAATTTATTTATCCATTGTGCAAATTCAATACAATAACCAACCACACACAATACACGCGCATACACATAGACATAAACATAAATGATAATTTCTTTTTTTGTTGCTTTTTATTCGTCTGTTTGTAAAATATCTACTAGTATTGTTTGTTGAGAGTGTTTTCATAGTATCCATTTTCATATTCATAAATTTCTATGTACACACACAACATGTGTATGATAATGAATTGTGATCAATGATTTTGGGTTTACATAATTAGTCACTTTATTACATGTTTATTTGGGATAATTCTATACTTGTTTATAACTGACAAGTTTTTGTTTTCAAAACAATTCATGCCTCAACTACTATGAAAACATACATCATATGTGTTTGTGTTTATTAGTCATAGAAGATGGATAAATGATTACAATAATAATATAGAAAAGTAACCGATGTAATTACTCCCGACGCTGTCACCGCTGCCAATAGCCTATTAACCAATAAACTTTAATACTGCATACTAATTTACAAGTCATGTTTTAGATATCTTGCGTGCATATTTCTTTTCAGTTATGTGTTTATATGATTGTTATTATTATTATTTGGATCAGAATATGAGAAAATACATTTTGATAAGTATGTTATCATTAATGATAGCAATTTAGCGCCAAAACTTACTAGAGATATTACCATTATTCATTGTGTTCTATTTGTTTTATTCAATTAAATCTTTTTTTGAGTTTGCTTTTTTATAAACAGACATACGCTGAGACATAATGAACAAAAACATGGAAGCAAATCAACTTACATAGTCAAATATGATTTTCTTCTTTTAGGTTATTGTTTATTTGTCGCTCACTTATGTATCGGTCTTGTATTATTATTATTATCATTATTACTATTGTATGTGTGTGGTCACCCACCATTTTGTTGCATTGTCCATTTTGCCTACACTATTTATAGAGATACTTATCTTTTTTTCCTGTTTTTTTTTCGTTCGTTTTTCTACATAACTATATCAATTATATAACGAATGATTGTGTGATATGGACACAATTATTATTATTATCGTTAGTAATAATGTGTTAATTATAGTCTTTTATTTTACATAATCATACATTCACTTAAATGTGATGTATCTAATTTCTTCTGATTAATTTGTCCTGTTTTTGGTTGTTTAGTGATTCAAATAGAAATTCTAGTTATTTTTCCTATTAGCAAATTCACTTAATTGAAAAGATGTTTTTTTATTATGATGATAGATAGGAAGAGACTTATACATATTTTGCCTTTATTTTTTTTTGCGCCCCTTTTCTTTGAAAAAGTTATCTTTCCGTCTGCTTTTCTTCTTTTTTTTTGCTAATCGTTTCTCCTATCACTAATGAACTGATATGTTTGAATGGTAACGTATGATTTTTCATTGTTCTAGCTTGTTTTTACCATCGATTTTCTGCACTTGTTCTACTATGGACATCATATTATATAGGAGTATTTTCTTTGGTTCCATGTATTCTGTTTGTTTCTATATAAAAAGAAAAGATTGTTTTTAATGTTTATCATATTTCCTGGCAGAGTTTCTCATTTTTTTTTACTGACGATGATGATCTAATCATTCTACACCTGTATGCACATCAATCTATTCAGTTATTCATTATCATTTTTACTATTTAATGCCATTTATGTAATTACATTTCTAGAATAATAAAGCTATGTATATTCACATTTATTCAAGATAATAATGATGAGTTCACAATAGTCTTTCATTTAATGACTTCTGTTTGTTTGTTTGTCCGTTATTGTTATTATTGTCCTTTTCATCATCAAGCTTTTTTTGTAACCATCGTTTTATTATTTTTTCATTATTCAATTATAATTGTTTATGTACTCTGTTTCCACGCTCGCTTGTATGTATAGTATGCTGTTGTTTATTGTTCTTTCTTGAAATTATTATTTATGCTTAATATCACTTACTTGTTCATGTATTTTCTCAAGATTGTTAGTGTATTATAATTTAATGAGTGTCATGTTATATATGTTCACTTTCTGTCTTCTATCACTCAGGTTCATTTTTTCTTCGTTTCCTTCCTATAGTTCACTATTTCACCGACCAGCAGTTTTAATTTTTATTCAAATTTCTACACCAAAATGGTTGTATCATATTTATTATATTGTATTAACAAATTAACTTATATTCATATCTCGAAGATCTTTACCCTCTTTGAATAATAATTATTGTTTCCCATCAATATGTATGTATCTTTCTTTAAGTAAAAAGAAAGTATTGTTGAAGATTTGTTTCATTTTTAACTTTGATGGTTAAATTCTTTCTCTAATTGACAACAGTGAATAAGTAACGTAATGACAACAACGGAACATGTAATTGGGATCTATCTTGAGTTATACTAATTAACAAAGTATAACATTTAAAAAAATATGCGCAAGTCATTTCACCCTTCTTGTCTAATAAGTTATTCTCTTTTAGTCATCATTATTGTTGTTATGACTGTTCTGGTTCGTGTTATTATCCAGAGCCGTTCATCAATGCACTTTTATTTGTGTGTGTGTGTGTATGTGTGCGAGTAGATGGGTGATTCAGTTGATCAACAATGATTGAATCTTGTGCTTATACTATTTTTACATTTTATTTTCATTATTACTGTTACCAATAATGTTAGAGTTTCTTATGCCATGTATACGATTTTTATGTCTACTTTTCTCTCAGTTGCAATAATTAACAATAAGGTAGGGTAGTGCATTGTATCTCGAAAAGAAAAACAAACAGAAATACATAACAACTTAGCACAAAACAACAGCTTATTGGTCTTCTTTCTGTTTCTCATTTAACAATGTTAGTTTCATTTATTTATTTATCTTTTTTCGCTTCTTTCTGTGCTTACGTATTGTATTTGTTAGATTCGACTTGATCTACCTATTCATTAATTTATTTTACATTTGAGATTTGTTTATTTTTTCAATGAGGAATAGATTTTTTGTTATTATCAACTTTTCACATCAGTCTGTCATTTGTTTGTTCGTTTTTGTCTCTCATTTACGAAATACTTGATCTTAACAATTTCGTTTTCTTTTATCTGTTGTGATTTTTTCTATGCATCAATTGTTTACTGGTCTTTTCGTTTATTCTACTCTACTTTCCATAGTTGATAATCTACATCTTTTAAATGCTTGTTTATTCAAGTCCCAATGCTATTAGTAGCCTGTTATTCCATTAGTGTTTCTCGTTGAGTTGTCTTTTTTATCCAGAGGTGGTTAACATTGTCCGGTTTTGAGTATGTATGCAATTTTTTGTTCGATCCACACAAGAATTTTTTCACATTGCCTACCCTGGTATTGATTGTGCTTCCCTCTCTCTCTTCGTTATTACTGTCTCATTTAATTTGTACATCAACGCAATTACGTACACAGATTTAACATTTTCTAAGCTTTTTAGTCATCTGCAGTTTTTTTCTTAATAGTTAGGTATGTGTGTTCTTTTTTTCTGTTACTTTCTCTTTCCTCTATTTCACAATCAATTATCTGTTGTATTAAAAAAAGATGTTGAGTAACAGCTACCACCGTCGCTATAGTTCAATGTTAAATTGTCCAATAATCTAACTTTCACTTGAGTATTACCAAAGTTTTATTTTTGTTGCTACATAATTTTCATTTTCATACATTTTTAATCACTCACTATGTGATTATTATATTACAATACTTCTGTGTGTATTCAATAATAAATACATGCAGAAGAGAGATACATGCACATACACCTAGAGTATACACCATTGTTCGTATTTCTTGCTTACATACAAGTATATATGTGTAGTACTTGTATCAATATTGTTTCTATTATATAGCATCATTTATATTTCTCTGATCAGAATTTAAGAAAACTAAAAGATTATTCTAGATGATACTATATTACTAAAATACTACTTATTTTCTTTAATAGGATTTTTTTCATTATTACATTCTGTCATTAGACATTTACAAAAATCAAAACAGATTATAACAATACAATTACACACGAAAAATAAATATGTTCTGACTTCTTATTGCTCTGATTGGTTTGGATAAATGTAGAAAAGTAGCTATTAAACGGGTACGAGTAGTGGTTAAGACTTACAACTATCAAGCTAATTGTTTCGAAACTTTGGTCAATCTGTTTTCGTCTGGGTAACTTCATAGTTGGCTCAGAACCAACTCCTTGATTCAGTACCTGGTTAATGAGCTAGGTAAATAGATTAAGTACTATCATAGCGGGTAGATCTGAATGTCCTAGATTCAATTTCTAGCGGGGCCTTGGGTGAGCTAAAAGTTGAACTTAGCTTTTTTTTCTAACTACGTTACAATCTAGTTATTGTTAGAGGTAGCAAGTGTTTTAGGATTTTAAAAGATAGCAGTGTGTAATCCCCTCAGTATTGCCAATATCCACATCCAGACTCAAAACAGGTACCCTTCATTTTAAATCTAAAATGTCACCCACTAAACGTGTGGGTCTACATGGCCGCTAACTCGTTCATTGGGTATGATGTATGTGCAATTAGTAAGAGTTTTAATTATTCTGTCGTGAACATCACGAATTCAAATATTTCCTACTCATAAATCTCAAAATGAATTTCGTGATAATCTATCCTATAAAATGTGCGGCAGTATTGCTATGCTGAGTTATTCTCCTCATGATATGCGTATGTCAACGAAGACCGAAATTCAGTCCTAAATGCCAACAATAGGGTAATGTAAACCCTTTCAGTGATAATCATACGAAGATGTATTGGAGGTTGATAGCCTTATGTTAAATTAACTCAACATCAAGAAATGGACAACCTGGAGGGAATTAAATCATGGACAGCGTCTCCATACATCTGGCGTTTGATTTGTATCTCTAAACAGCAGTCTAGTATTATGGTTAGTTCGTGATGAGAACCGTAACTCTCAATCCTGATTCGTTACATTAATCCATAAGTTTATTTTAATGGTCAGTTTTTCAAGGTCGTCCATCAGCCCTTATATTACCCAAATTTATTATCGAACGTAATCTTGAACTAATTAAACTATTAGAATGGATATTGAGGTAACTCTTATTATGCCTCGAAACATTGAGCCACATAATCACAGGATTATTTGAAATAAACTGGTTAAGAATCATCACAACGGAATAAATTTCATTTCTACCAGCCTGGTTGAGTCATCAAACGTTTAGTGTAGTGATCATTTTTTGAAAACTACCAATGCATTTTTTATAATTCACATCTGGATAGTGTTTACCAAGGTTCTAAGTTTTACATTGAATAACTTTCTATGTAATTAATGTCAGGTAGCTTGTTATTCAGTTTGTTTATTCGGTCATCTGTACTCAATTCTGAACTTCAGAATAGTGTGCTCATCACAAAATTTGCCGATTTGTATAAAAGTTGGTAAAACTTTTCTGACAGTGAACAGCTGACCTAATACTAACCAAACAACGAGTTAACAGATTTTAAAGGTCCTAATCTTTTTAAAGGATAATAAGTGTAACATTCATGATAAATGAAACAAAAAGACTTTACGCTGAGAATTTTAATGATACCAATAACAGGAAAAATCTTTCGTTGGTAAACATTTTCAAGAAAACGAATAACTGGATTGTATGTCTTTCAATCCCAAATTCCATTTCACATTTATAACAACATTTCCTACTTTACCTAACAATGGTACATGCTTGCTATTGTCGGTGCTTTTTATTCAGAACAACATTAATTAATTATACTATCTAAAGACATCATAACCTGCGTATCATCTAACGGGTGTTTCAGTTTGTTAATCATATTTTCTATTGTTGCATGCTGCCACATCACATCAGTCTGCCAATTTTAACTTTTATAATTCCATTCAACGTGGAATGAAAACCGAATTAGATTACTAGAGCCCCCAAATGCCCTGACACGGCGGAGGGTTGGGAGAGTCCGCTCTCCCTCTCCACATGCATATACGACCACTATCAGGGAAGTCCTGCTTACTGCCTTCTCTCGATGAGTGTTGTTGAGAAAAGGGAATGTCTGGCGCTTCAACCGAGTTGGTGGATACAGAGGATCCACTTAGGGGAGCTGGAAAACACTGATTCAAAACCAATGGTGCACATGGACTCCAGTACCCTGAAGGAACAAATGGCGTATGAACTAATTATTGGTCATCGGATACCATGAGGCTGCAGCTCCTGACGCTACTTCACTGCCTTCTGGATCAGACCTTTGGGTCGAAGGCTCGAGGTGTGATCCCCTAAGAAAATCACCTGCTTCGATTCGGGCACCCGGGCAGTATCACAGCTTACACATAAATCAAGTGACTTGTATAGTTGTATATGTATACAGTGCCACTTTGTAATAATAATAATCTAGGCGAGAATATATGAGACTGTTTCGAACGCGACTATTGTCATCGTTTCTAAATGATTATCAAATCTTAATTAATCTCGGATAACTTTAATTAACGAAGTTAGTTATTAAGTTCTGTCATATATTATCATGCTGACAAGAAGATAATTTAATTAATTAACTCACTGGTTGGTTCTATTGATTTGATTTTGATTAAATGAATCATTACTTATATAAAACAACAAGATTACTAAAATACCTATTTATAGCTTTTTATGATAAAACAAGTGTATGAGTCAATGTTGACATTTGTATTCAGATAGTTTGCCCGTTAAAAGATTTTCTTAAAGTAATACCAAGATACATATGACATAATTACATATATAACTTGATTCATCGTCTCCAGGCAATAGCTAATCCTACACTACATATATTATCTAGGAGCATTTCCAATGTAGCATTGACCGAAATATATGAGATACAAAGAAATGATTCATGAACAGACAAGTTTGTTTATAACTCAACATGTGAAACAACCTCATCGGATGTTTTCTAAAAAGCTAAATTTATTCAAAACAATGACAATTTCTATAATGATCAACATGGTTGTTATTTTCTGGTAAGCTTTCACCTATTTTCTAAATGTTCCAAGGAAGGATAATAATCTGGTCACTAAGTTAGGATCTGTTAAAATAGTAAGTCACTAGATAGCGTAGCTTCGAAGTAAGATTAAATAGCTTAACAATTCACATCATTTCAGTTAACTCTAGTGTATTAATACTATTACTCAAACAATATAAATAAATTCATTATGTAAATTATAGCCTAGTACATACAAGTCTTATTCTGTTAGCAAGACTTTATTAAATATAAATGTCTGTCTCAGTTAATCCAACCTTTTAAGATACACTTCAGAGAGAAGCTATTATATATTACACAGATTGAAATCATGAGTCAGATGAAGCTAGACCATCATGGAAAACCTGGAAGCACTGGACGGCCGTGTGGGATCGTGGATGCGCACTGCTGAGGAGTCCCATACTAAGATGAAACGGCCGTCCAGTGCTTCCAGGTTTTCCATGGTGGTCTAGCTTCAACTGACTCATGATTTCAATCTGTGAAATTTCTAAAATCTCCACAAACCCATTCTATTATATATTAATTTATTCACTGATAGTTTGGTAAAAAGAAAACGTCAACAACTATCAGGTAATTGTTTTTATCCGATCATCAGTAGTCATAGTACGTTTTACTTAATTTGAAAATTTTTCAACTTATAATTCACATTAATAACTTCTCTAAATATCGACTTTATATTGTTCAATTTAGAAATCACTTCTAATCGGCTGATATATTTTTTATACTGTGAATTATTAAATAATAAGGTTAAACTGTTGACAAAATACTAAAGATTAATCTATTACATAATAATTAGGTTAAGAGTTTTTGTCACAAATTTTTTACACCTACAGAATAATCGGTAAAACGTTTTATAGCTTAATTAGTACGAGAAAAATATATATTTTTTCACTATAGGGTTGTAGAGATTGTTAAGTTATCGATTGAGATCTTGGACCGATTGATGTTAGACCACCATTGAAAACCTGGAAACATGATCCGAATCAAAAACTTAATAATCTCCACAATTCGATACTGATAATTACCATGTGCTCACTAGTGACTAGCTTCGTGAGGGAATTCTCGGAGTTCTAGTTAGAAGCCGTGACCAGTGGAGCTAATCCGTGTCGGGTAGAGACAGGTATCTACCTTAGTATGATGGAAGATGGTCGCGTGATTTCGTGGATTGGTTGAGGTTAGACATTAACACCAATGGTGGTACAGTGGGTTAAGCGTTAGCGCGCAAGACCGGACGCCCTGGATTCGAATCCCGCGAGGCGGGGTCGTGGATGCGCACTGTTGAAGAGGCCCACAATAGAACGAGGCGGCAGTCCAGTGTTTCCAGGTTTTCAATCGTGGTGTAACATTAATCGGTTCGAGATCTCAATCAAAAACATATTTTTTAGATATAGTTGAGAAAAATTAGATTTAACCATACATCTTAATTGGAATATTGGAAAGTAAAAATATTAAATAAAAAAATGCTAAATTTATCAGATCATGAAAATCTGATTGTTTTAATTTTCGAAGTTTTGTTCTCTGAGTTGGATTGATTCTTGTTGACCTTAAACTTGTCAACAAGAACCAATTAATATCGAGGTTATATGTGGAGAAATTCGAACGCTTCACTTCTACTCGAATTTTATGCTGATAACTAAGTGCCTGCAACGCTGAGTCGCCTAGACTTATTGCCCTACTACAGAATAATCAGGACAGAAGGACTAGAAAAACATGACCTTGATCACCACTCAGTAATCGATCGGTCGTAAATGAAATAGGTAGATCCTTTTTATTATGGATTATTATTATCTGGAAAATCATATTTTTGAGGCCAACTAAACACTAGCTAGATATCTCGTCCTAATTCAGCATCCTTTAGTGGTCCATACATTACGTTAGATGGAAAGCAGTAATACTATTTATCATGACGAACGCACTACTTTAAGATCATCGAGTTGGAAGTTGTCGTGAATTCCAACCACATCCATGAACGTTGGGTCCACTAACAGTTGTATCATGCTGATTCTTTATTGACCACAAAAATATTCTCATACTTACG